GTGGCAAAAGGTTGAAAAGTTCAAGGGGGCCGAATACTTTCGCAAGGCACTGTAATAATAGCTAAGGACTGCTACTTCACAAAAACAGTCATCAAAAACGGGTGCTCTTTGGATCCAAGGACATATCAGACAAAAAAAGGTAAAGGTCAGACTTGTATGTTGCTTTGCGATCAATATATCACCAATCTGAGCCTGTCAGTGGTGACAAACAAGCACAAGTTAGTGTTTAATAATAAAAATAATAATACATTTTATTTAAAGGCGCCTCTCTGGGCACTCGAGGACACCATACAACACATAAAAAATAATTCTATCTTGATGGGCGCATTTGTACCCAAGTAACGTTACATGCCATCCATAGCAGCCCGTTGTCTTCTTGGAAAGACAAACTAAGAGGCTTTTGTTGAGTTTGCTTTTGTTTCTGTCCAGTTTTAAGTGTGTTTTACGATCTGCTGGGTTAAATTACTGTTTTTTCAATGGAGTCTCATCAGCTGTAGCACCCCTTGTTTTGGTCTGAGATTCTGGTGCTCTAGTGTTTCAGGTTTCAATTTATAACCTGGATATATATCATCTTTAAATGTGAGGTTTTTTTACAAAGTTCTAATAATATTAAAGCAATTTAACTGCATTAAGTGTTCATCAGAATTGATTTTAATTTTTCAATTCCGTTTTATTTGTATAGCACCAAATCATGAGAGAAGTTAGGGCACTTAATATAGAGCAGGTCTAGACCGTAGTCCTTATAAAATTACATACAGAGACCCAACAATTCCCCCCGTAAGCAAGCACTTGCCGACAGTGATGATGATGATGATGATGTACTTGATAAAGAACATAAATCTACAGTAATGTAAAGAATTCATGATTTGTAGTAAATGGATGAAAACATGAAAAAAGGTTTGCCTCCTCAGCAACCTCACTCTAGGTCTTTATATCTAGGCCCGTAGTGTCCCATCTCCATTTATAACATTAGTTATCACTGTAATGGTCCTTGTCCTAGTGTGACTCCTCTATTGAAAGCTGCTCTCTGATGTTGCTCACAGGCTGTTCTACCTGATAGGCTCTACATCCTGTTTGCACACTGACAATCGCATCAGCCAAGTTCTGATTTATTTTCTTGGTACTCGCCTTGAACCTTTCAGCCACAATCACGCTCTCTTTTACATCTCTCCATCTCTGAACTGAAGTGTTGCCTCCCTGCTCGTCTCAATGGCTAATACAGCACAGTGTCTTTTATTGTGAAGGTTTCTCGATCAAGTGCATGTTTCAATGCCACATATATGCAACATATAGGGGAAAATAGAAAGGATAAATTATACTTGTATGTGTTCAACCCCTTGATCATCAACATGCAGTGGCCTATTCAGACAGCAGACGCATGCATATATCAATTTTCAACTTCTTTTTACTTGGATACCATTTTAAATGGGTGAGTTGAAAGGGTTGTCAACATGGGTAATTTTTCTACATTTCAAACACATTCCTTGAGCATGTTAACACTGCTAGCTGAAATCAAAATCATATGTAATAGTAGAATCACTGTGACACAAACAGCAGGGTACTTATTCCTTTTTCTAGGAAATATTTTTTTTAGTGTCTTGCTTCTGACATTTGATGCTTAAAAAAAACATGTTTGGATATAACATGGAGGAGGGATGTTCAAAAGTGAGCAGGTTGGACTCTGAAAACATGGAAAGTGACTCAGAAGAATTTGATACAAGCATGTATCCCTTCTCAACACCTACATCACTCTGTGGAGCAGGCAGTTCATGCAAAAAAAACCCTCATGAGGGAAAAGAGGAGTATAGTCTGTGGTGTGAGGCCAATAGCCCGAACACGAATACAGTAAGAGCATTAAACCTCCACAGGCAGCCCACAGATTTCGTGTTGCTCTTTACACCTAACCTAAAAGTGAGTTGAACCAGCAGCCGATTACATAAAAGCTGCAATGTTGACTACTTTTGTTAAAAGTACAGTACCATTGACAAAAGAGGAGATGGAGATAAAGATAAACAGATGAAGAGGAGGGGTATCCTACTTCTTGAGTGGGGTTAGTAGGCAGAATTTTATCAGTCTGTTGGTTCCACCACTTTGATCCAACAACTATTAGATGGATTGTCATGAAATTTTGTACAAACATTCATAGTCACCAGAGGCTGTATTTCAATGACTTGGTTCACCTCTTAATATCCTCTTGCTCCATAAAAAGACTAATGTTTGTGGTTTTGAGTGAAATGTCTCCACCAATATTTGACCTACTGCCGTGAAATTTGGTACATGTATTTGGACAGTGGACATCCATTTTCCCCGCGGGTAAGAACTGTGACAACTTTGATGACTTTTCAACTAATGCTTTTATGGGTTGAACTGGCACCCCATGTACCAAGGCTGAGTCTTTGCTGCAGTGGCCATGGGTTTGACTCCGTCCTGTGGCCCCTTGTTGGGTGTCATCTCCTCTCTCTCTCTCTCTCCCCCCCCCCTTTTTCTGTCACTCTTCAGCTTTTTTATCAGTTAAACACAAAAAAATGAAAATAATTATGTTTTGTGGCGGTCTCCCATTTAATTTGTCAATAACAATACAGCCTCACCAATACTATGCCATGTCCATACTGCTAGGTGACAACAACACAGGACTGGAGCATTGAGCAACAACAAAGGGAAATGTACTGTATCAGTGTTGTTAAAGGGCCAGTGTGAAGGGATTTAACGGCTTCTAATCGTGGAGTGCAGTTGCAACTAACTGAAGCTGCTCACATCTGTATTTGATGACCTGGGAATGAGAGCGGGCTATGAAGTGTGTAGGAGAAACTACAGTGGCTGCGAACCTTGCAAAAAAAAAATAATGAGAGAGGCCCACCAGTGTTTGGTTTGTTCATTTTGGCTTAATGTAGAAACATGGCGGTTTAACTTGGAAAGCGGCCCACGGCGTCAGCTCCTTCTAAGGTAACAAAAACACAAAGATTCGTATATTCAGGTGACTATACACAACCACTGCCAATAGATCCTCCTAAATTTTACACAATGGACCATTAACCATCTTCTCACCCCAATTTCTAAGTGCTATATTTTGAATGAAAAATTGTCTGTTCGCACAAGGAAAGCATTCTTCCTGATGGGAACACTGACTTTCAGTTTGACAAGATTTGTCAATCCCAGTTGAAATTAAGAACAGACCTTTCTTGTACTAGAAATAAAATCATTAAATTGTGTAATACTTTGTGACATATGTTTCTAATGACTGACTTATTTCCTGAGCATGGACAGAGGCAGGAAACTGAGCTGCCATAGTACAAACAGAATTGATTTAATGATTTAATGTACTTTTTTTTGTCAATGAACTCAGTAAGCGTATGAGCATGATGAAACCACAATATGAAGCTGAGTGGCAGGAGACATGTTTGCTCAGATGTGTCATCAATCACTCCCAGGTCTCAAAATACATTTCACACTAGCAGCGAATAGAGAAGCAGAATCAGGTCACAGTGAAAACCCAATGAAATGCAGCTAAATTGAATAACGTCAGCTGATAAATTAAACAGTGAAACAAAAACAAACAAAAAAACTACAATTACTGGGTCAAATAAAGGGGAGATCTAATTTTAACTATGTATTCATTACTTTTAGCTAACCATTTACACTTCTCTGCTCGCTTGCTAACTACCTGTCATGCACTCACTTAATATGTATAAAAACTTTTCTTTAATGAATTCATCATTTATATTTTTTAAGTAATTGAGCTACTCCTCCGCATACTCCCTGAGGTACAAGTACCCTTGGTTGGGAATAACTGCAGTGGATGCTTCAGACTGCAGGTCCCATTTGGTAAAACCTTCACTGTAATATCACATTATCCTGTATTAATCACATATAAGATCAAACTTTGATTCAAAATACTTTATCCGCCAATGTGGACCTCCACAACCTGGCTCAGAGAAAAGCAAACATGCTAATTTCCAGGCATATGGTATCAAGAGGCTCATCCGTTTGGCTTTTACAACAAAAATAAATTGTTAGCCGAGCTGGATCTTTGACCCTGCAAAGTACAGTAACCACAGGGGATCTCCAGTGGATGTACTGTGATGTTTCCTCAACTAGTCACTGGGATTAGATCCAGGTTTGTGTTTACTGTGGGGGGGACTTTGCTTGGCCAGGATGACGGCTGGAGATGGACCCTCAAATACTGTGAACAGATTCCAGCCCTCCTATGTGGTGGGCTGCAGGCTGCGGTCTTTTATGGCAGATTCCTTTGAGGCAGGAGTATCTGAGAGAGACTGCAGAGAGGCACTGCTCAATGAGCAATTTATATGTTCTCAACAAAGCTTCTTCTTTAGACCCTGAAGGCAGGTCTTAATTGTTAGACGTGATATCTCCACTCCCCCTCTCCTCTTTCTTTCACTGTTTTCTTCTCCCTCTCCAGCACCCCCCCTCCCTCCAGCTATTAGGAATTGGATTTGGAGCAGAACGATCCATTTAGTCTCTCTCCTCCATCTCTATCCCTCTCTCCTTGCTTCCACACCTCCTCTATAGGTTTCTCTCATCAAAGCCCAGGCTTAATCTGTCTATTTTTACCTGAAGGAATGAAAGGAAGGGATGAGGTAATGCTTTTCCTGTCCATCAGGTGGGCAGTGGTGCATGGGCTCTCAGGTGTGTATAGTTTAGGGAGCTAGCACCACCATGTGGACTCAGAAAGTATTTACTATTATGAAAGAAATAGCAGGAAGGTACAGGCTGGAGAAATGTACTGGATGATCAAGTGTCCAAAGGAAAACACAAACAACTTAAACACAGACAGTATTAACACAATCTACAGCTGATTAAGTAAATAAAGCAATGATAATATTTCAACAATGACAGCTTGAGAAGCACAGACCTCACAGTACTGCAAAAGTCAGAACACCTTAAGATGAACGTGAAAGCGGAGCTCCACCTAGTGGAAAAAGACAGTAGGTGACAACACCACAAAACTGAAAACATTTTATTTGTAAAATAAAAACAAGGAGCTTTGATTTCTGCATTTAATTGAGAAATTAAACATTACAGGAAGTACCAGCAACAAGTTGCAAAATGTGCCAGTCCAGCGTAAAACCATCTGAGATCAGTATATAAATTAGCAGAGAAATGCACAGGCGTAGAAAACTGAAGATGCAGTATGTGTATTATCTGTTTGTCTGAGGTTTAAAGAGAGGATTTGATGCTCCAAAACAATCCTCTTAAAAAGTTTTTCTAAGAAAAACTAAACGGTTTTAAAACAATTTTTGGAAAACATTAAAATTGAGAACATCATTTTACCAAATAAAACAGAAAAAAATATAGTTAGATGAGCCAATTGGTATCTAGGCAATAACAACAGATATAATAATCCAAAATGTTTCCAAAGGTTTTTGGTTTGTATACTTATGGCAGTGAAATAAGGAATGATAGGATTACTTGGCAGATCTATTTTTGGGGCTTTTACCCAGTATTTGTTAACTTATGTTTGATGCAATCACATCCCAGCATGGTGTATATCCTTATCCTTTTCGCCTGAAATTAGGTTTCTACATGTACTATGTAAATAAAGAGCAGCAGGATAGGGCAGAGTCCATTTGCCTGAGAACAGTGATAACCTTCAACATAAAGTCATGAAAGAAAAAAAAAAACACCCCATATCAACCAATTTGTAAAATATGTGTATTTCATACAAAAGAAAATAAATTTAAAATAAATATTTGCAGAGCAGAAAAAAACACAATATCATCTTAATATCGCAATGTGGACTAAAAATAAAGGAAGGCAGAGAACTGACATAAGTGACGGAGTAGAGATTCAGACTCCATCATCTGTGCTGCACTGGTCCATGCATACAAATCCTAACTACTGCGTTTCTCTCCGTCTATTCCTCTTTCTCTACCCGCACTTAAAGGCACAGAGGTGGTAGGGAAGTTGCAGCATGGGGAGATGCTGTTACATCAGATAGAGTAGAGTAGTAAATAGAGTTGCTGGACTAAAGTCCATTCTTCAGTCGTCTTTGTTGTGGTTCTGGCCGTTGCAGCTTTTAGGTCTTCCGATGCAGAATTTGCGTGGATGGTTTTTAAAATCCAGGATATCCTGGACAAAGCGAGGGTGCTGGTCTATAAAATTATGAAGTTCATCTGGAAAAGGGGGCAAAATAAAGAAAATGCTGTTAAATGTGGTTACTTAGATTCTAAAATTAACGTGTTATATCTTTTTTATTTGTTATAAATTTAAGGTACAATGTGACGCATTTTCACATTAGATTATTTGTTTTTCCATTTAGAGGCATTAATATAATTACTATGATGACTCCAGACCATTACAGAGGATATTAGCAACTTGTCTGTATAATTCATTTTTCTTTATGTGCATTTGGGAAATATGCTGGATTGTTTCATGTTAAAACTTTGAAATTTGCTTTATAGGACAACAGAAAGAGAGGGAGTGTACGAAGAAAAGCTTTGACAGTCTCTAGAAAAGACAGATGGCGGATGTAAAGGACCCTGAAAAAGTCCACGACAGACGGTACACATCCTCTTCAGTGAAGCCAACAAGAAATCAGATGTGATGGTGACAGCACGGATGAAGCGGGGACGCGCAGATAGATGCTGTCAATCATCTCCACAAGGGTCTCATATACACAAAAGGTATCACATCATTTTGGACTGAAGTTGAAAAATGCTTAATGGCAAACACTGGGTCTTACCATATGTCATCTTCTCTGTGTCAGGTCCATCAAGCGATAAAAAAACACCTGACAGTTCCACCTCTTTCACTCCCAACATTATCTCCAAGATGGCGGCAACCTCCTCTTCTAGGACTTCCCCGCTCTCCTCACTCTCATACATCTGCACAACAACATTTATTCTTAGTGCAATGATTTAAAACCTATGTTGAACCAGATTCAGCAGTGAATGTGCTCACCTTGAAGGCCAATTTGAGGGTCTTCATTGACTTTGATGGTCGATGAACAGTAGATAAAGCAATAACATAGTGTCTGATGTCTATCTGTCCGTCTCCTTGCTGGAACAAAATGATTTTAGTGAGCAGAAGTAGCAGAGAATCAAACCTTAACCTTTTTTATCATTTGATTAAAAAAAATTGTATTTTTGTATTGTATTTTTATATCAACTGGACAAAGAACTTGCATTTTAATATAAAACATCATCATGCTAACTTTGTAATTCACTTTCAAGAACTTAGTTTTCTCAGCTGTTTTTTTCTACTAATGATCTGAAATCACAATCACACAAATGTACACTTCTTGACATTTATAAGACTGCAGACCTGATCAAGCATTGTCACACATGAAGCCTACTGTATGTCACCTTCAAGATAGGAAAGTATTAGCCGTGGTGTAGACCGTTGGGTGTTTTGAATCAGTGACACTGTGTCCTCTTAACAGCTACGTTGGTTTTTCAAATGTATATGTGCAATAACGTGCACATTCAAGAAATGAATGAAAAAATATAATACTACTGGTGCCTGACCTTTCCCAAAAGTGTCTGTATTTTCATTTAAATGTTTTTGTATATTAATTACACAAAGGGCAAAGAAAAGTTACTTATTACTTATTTTGGCAATTTAACAGCCTACAGAACATAAGATAACATGGCTACATAAAAGTGATACCAATAGCAAAAGTAATAACAAAAACAACACATGGTCTTTTAACAAAGAAGTAGAAAAGAGATCATTTAAAACCCTGCCTTGTCAACATGATCACACAGGAGACCTAAAAACACAAGGTAGGAAAGCAAAACTACAACTGAAAATAAATAAACTACAGACTGGACACTTTAAATTATAACATGTTAAGGTAGAGAGTAGCAGACATCTCATATCTAACTAGGATTTCTAAAAACTGTAATATCTTGTGATTCTGCAAGCATTTGGGAAAATTAAACTATATTAATTAAATTGTATACAAATTATACTTTGCTTTAACGTCCAGTGTGTAATATTTATGAGGATCTATAATCCTATTATAGTCACAGGAACGTTTTAATGTGTAGATAAGGCCTCCTCTGGCAGCCACCGTAGTTTATCCTACACACTTGGAAGGCTGAGCTGTATTTAAATAGTTCAATCTGCAACTTCAATGCTAGATGCCACTTTTTAAACTGTTCCATATTATGTGCTCTTTTACCAGTTTGTAAGCTCATTGTCTGTAATTATACATACTTGCCTATATTATATTTTAAATTAACAGGAAAAAAAAACTGTTTTTACCTGGTCAAAGAGGCTGTGGACTTGTGTGAGTGTGTCTGTAACTGGCAGGTTGAGGAATTGGGCAAAGTCCTCCAAACCCAGCCTGTCTCCCTGCAGCTTTCTGGCTCTTCTGGCCTGCTCCTCCAGAACTTTCTCTGTAGTTCCTGCCCTCAGCCTGTCAATGCACAGCACACCAGAGAAAATACAAAGAAGTCACATCATGCAGCAATGTATTTGTTAGTCATACTGTTAACCACATGTGTGACATATATGGAAACATGTTTGTCACCGTCACTTTGGCTGGACAGTAAAAATCCCACATATCTATGTTAAAGAGTGAAGCAGATGTCTTAAAGTAAAAGTGTAAGTAGTGTATTGTCTGCAACTACAGCATTTTGGCTTGGAATTGTTGTTTTGGCCTAATCATGCAGTGTGATATAAGTATATAGTTTTATTTTTATTTAGTATATGATCAAAATAATGTTATTATTGGCTGTGAGATTTTCATTAGATAACTGCTCCCATATTGGAGCTACTTAGCAAAGAAAAAAAAAATTCTTCTCGGGTATCTTTAAAATGACAAAAGCACATGGAGATGATACCTGAAAACCTATAGGCTTAACTCTTTATATCACTCACATCATCACTAATCACCAAATAACCAAATAATCTTATGATAGGCTTATAGATATCTGACAATTTTCTTCACCTGGAATAAAAACCTGATTGCAGTAAAGTAATATCTGTGTCAATCTTTAAAAATGTCAGCCTTGGCAGAACACCAAATCTTTCCTCATTTGAATTTCCAGATATGAACTGAAACAGACCTCCCTGTGTGTGGTTCTGTCCTGCCACCAACAGGTGTCAGTGTTTCTTCACCTTCAGTGCCCCAAAGTCTTAGCTCAAACCCACTATCCACCCAGTCCGACCAGTCAATCCAGTCTCCCTCCACTCACCCCAGGCGGCACACCAGCTGATTGAACTCAAGCAGGCTGCTGTAGTCATATATGCGCAGCGGGCCCCGTGATAGGCTGATCTCACGGTCGTCAAAGGACAGGTCTGTAAGTGGCAGCTGCAGCGCCCTATCAGTACAGAGGGAAAGATGTATGCGGATCTTCACGCGTGTCTGTGTGTTCCGGACATCCAAAACAAGCATGTGCAGACAAACAGACGCTGATCAAAGACACTCGAGCAAACACTCTTACACACACTTACTTGGCCATGAGCTTTCTGACATTATCTGCAAACAGAGCAGGGTTTTCCTTCTCCTCATCTGATGGAGTGTATATAGGCAAGTACTAAAGAAAGAGAAAGAAATTCATCCTGATGTCCTGAAATTAAACTGTGTACTGATCGGCTATATAATAAATATAGAGTTACACTTATCACATTCATTACATTAGATAGACAGTATTGGTTTAATTCCAAGCTAGTATGTCTCTCAATCTGGAAATAAAGTTTTACTGACTTCTGGCTCACTTAACCACTCACCTCTATCTCCATGGGATTATGAGGCTGGCAGAGCGTGAGCCATAGGATCTTGAACCTGGAAGATAAGAGAATTTGCTTTGTCTATACATGACGAGGAAGAGAAAAATAATATGATGGATGGAGACAAGACTGAACACTTAGTGCTAGAGATAATGGAGGTTTCCCTACAGTATCTTACCATGTTTGTTCTTAATGGAAAACAGATCACTGCAGTTTTAACGACATACTTAGCAGAGGGTGGTGGAACCTGTGTGTGTGTGTGTG